GTGTGTGTGTGTGTGTGTGTGTGTGTGTGTGTGTGGCATTAGGCTATGTTGGGGAGGTTGTATATGGTGGGGGTCAGGCAGGGTGTGAATGTGTCGCATTTGTAGGGTGTAAGGGAGGGTGAGGGGGAATGAGAGAGTTTGGGGGGTGGGAAGACCCCCGCATACACCCCTATGGCATGCAGCCCCCACAGACGGCAGTAGCAGCATCAGCAGGCAGGGGCGCTTAGAACACTCATGCCTGGCACAGGCAGTGCCACCTGGCAGTGCATGACTCTGGCCAGCGCTGCACACTGCAGTGAGAAGTGCAGCCTGGCTGGCCTGCCTCTATCACTGGGGCTCCCCACCGCTCACATGCAGCTCCGGCACTCACGCACCTTGGGGAAAGCCCCACGCTGGAGCCGGCTGCCTTCCATGCCCCATATCACATGGGTCCCAGGACTTCGCCAGGAGCCCCAGCCCCTGCTTCCCTGTGGAGTCCCAAGATCTGTGCGGCAGGGAAGACATCCAGTTCCAGCACGGGGCTTCCCTCAGTGTCATGTGAATTCAGAAGCTACGCAGCAAGGAGCCCAAGTCATAAAGGCAGGCTGGCCAGACTGCACTCCTTGCCTCAACGTACAGTGCTAGCCACAGCCGCGCGGTGCTGGGTGGCAGGGTCTGCACTGGGTGTGAGCACCCCTACCTGCTGCTGCTGCTGCCTGTGGGAGCTGCACACTATAGGGGAAATATGGAAAGGTTCCCACCACCCATCCTCTCATACCCACATCCTGCTCACCCAAGCTCCACACTCCCAATTCCTCCCTGGGAACAGGATCCATGCTGCCACCCGCCCCACGCTCCATGCTTCCCCCCAGCTGCAGCTTTCCCCTGGTCCCTACCCCTACTACTTCCCTACCTGTTGCCCAGAGCAAGCAGGATGCCAGGGAAGCCGAGTAGGTCCCCTCGTGTCTGCAGCAGTGGCAGCAGCAGCCCCGCCCAGAAGCTGTGTGCTGGCTGGGCCGGGCCCTTCCACCCATGAGGGTGGGAGTAAGGCACAATAGGGTATGTTGTGGGGTGTATATGTGGGTCCTTTGCTCCCACCCTTGTGGGCGAAAGGGCTGGGCGGGGTACAATTAGTTGGTGGGCATCATCAGCCAGATGAAAATGCCCAGTGGGCTGGATTTTGCCCACCCCTGGCTCTACAGGCTAATAACAAAGAACAATTATTATTGTTGTATTTTCCTTTCCAGTATTTGAAATACATTACTAAAATGGTGATAGAGGCCATATAAAATACATATCTCTAGACCTTGTAGACTTTGCAATTTGCAATTATTTATGTTGGAGTGAAAGAACACTTGAATGAAAAATACTGATAGCACATTCACTGGCATGAGAAGTTAAAAGGTTCTCTGTATTCCTTCAGAGATGTGGATATTCAGTAACAAGCAAAACACTTCCAGAACTTCAGAGTTCAGTTGCTGTGGTCACTAAGAGATGCATATGATTTAAAAATATAAAATTTCTCAGAAATTAAAAGAGTAGACAAAACTGGTTTCTGGGTAAGGAGGCATATACGTTTAATGAATAAAAAAATACAAATATAATGCTGAGTAAAGGAGTATATAGAACTCAATGTTTCATTCATCATTTTGAATGTCTTTTTAAATTTAGTATATGTAGTATATTCCTTCCTTATAATAATTGTCTTAAAATTGTCCTATAAATCTCTTCAGTTTAGAAAGCTGATATTTAAAGAAAATCAAGATATGGCCATCATACAACTGCCTAAAGTTATGAATATTTTGCAAAAAATGAAATTACGACCCATTTGTTGATTTTTTGGGCAAGAATCATTTGCACTGGAAGCCTTAAGAGTCTCACAATTTCAGCTAGGGCACAACTCTGAAGCAAAAAAGTCTCCACTTATCTTTTTACCTGAATGTGACTATTTTTCTTAAGTATGAATGTAGATACTAGCTTAGACTAGCAGATTGTCTTTCAGAATTATACAATAGTTAACTGTAAAATCTAGAGATTGATTACCCATAGAAATAACATTATGATGAGAATTTAAATGGCTCAGATTTTTATATGGCACTAAAATGAGTTGCTTTATGATCTTTAAACCTCTAAATGAGCTGTGGCCTATACATGAGAACCAACTCCTCAGTCAGTACACAACAACATTAAACTCAATGCTTGCACTCTAAAGTGATCCTGTTACCATGGTTTCTCCTTGCTGTAAGTTGCATTACATATCTTTGAGAGTTGAATTGCTGAGGTTTTAAGGAAACCTCTGTTAAGAGCCACTGCAGTATTTACAATCTACTGTTGTATCTTGTGTCGATGTTTTATGGAGCTGAATTTATCACTACTTAGATATTCTCATTTGACAGCTCAGGTTCCTACGACCTGCACTGTTTTACAGAACAAGAACTCAAACCCTTCTTAGCATCTGATGAAGTAAGATTCTGCATCTCTGATTTAAGGCCTTGTTACACAGTAATTTTAGGCGGCTCCTGGAGCTCTTAACCACTGTTTGCACATGAACACCTGAAACTAGTTTTAAGCACTCATTATGCAGCTCAAAGTTACACCACTCTAGGGCAGGATTATCTCTGATCTGTGTTACCCAGTTCATGTTAAACCCCACCTCCCTCCTCACTCTTCCTGGCCCAGATTAGGTCCACTTCTCCCTCCCTCCCAGCTTTCTACAGCACCCCAGATCAAAACTCACAGCCTCCCTGCCACCTGCCCC